TTTTTATCGAAAACGGAAATTTTCGCCTTATATTTATTGATTAATACAATTGTAACAAAATATCATCTTTTGTAAAAGTAATAAAGTTTTAGAAATTATTTAAATTTGATTCAAAAATTCATTTTAATTAATGTAGTTCCTAAAAAAAGTGAGCATTTCTTGTTTTGTTTCTTTAATTATTTGCAATTTTATTTTTATTATAAAATTTTCAGAGCATAGCAACAGTATTATTTATCTATGTGAAAACACAAACGCCAATTTTCCCAGTTAGCTGTTACCTCAATGTTCTCGTTATACTGGATCGTTCGGATTCAGTCAAAGGTGGATTTAATAAAAGTCGAAATTTTGTCGTTAATGTTTCAGAAGAACTCGACATTGGGCCAAGTACACATAGGGTTAGTAATTTATATATATATATATATTATTTTTTTTTGAATATGAGCAGTAATCAGGCTAATGACTGATTGGTTCTATTTAATATAATTTGATCAGATTAATTAGCTTAAGCTCAATAAAATCTTCTTTCGCTCACTATGCTTACCAAGTTGTAGTTTTGCTCGAATTTGTAAAATAATTCAATTTTCGCCCAGTAAAAAAAATGGCTTGATTAATTAATTGGTATAAATTAGTACTTTGAGCATTTTGTCAGCTGATTGAGAGCTTTGTTATTGGTTAATTCTAATATGAAGTTAATTATGCCGATAGTTTAAATGATTTAATCGGAAATGTTTAATTTCGAAATTTTTTTTTCTTTGATGGAAATAAAAGTTAAATGAATGTTACCTTAAATTGTGCTTTTTGAAAATTCAGCATTTCCCAATTTCAGGTAGCATTGATCGTATATTCTGGACTCAGTTATCGTCGTGAAGTATTCAAGTGGAATTTTGCTAAAAGCAATGATGAATTTAAAAAAATTGTGCTTGGATTACGTGCTATCGGTGGTACAACAAATACAAAGTTAGAGAAAATTGCATTTTAAATTGAAATTCCCTGTTTATTTCAAATGTAAACTTTAATTTAACTTTTCGTTCTCATTTTTCAAATTAACTTTTAAAAGGCAATAAAATTCTTTTTCCTTTGTTTTATGCGACAAATTCAACTGAATAATTTACATTCTCAAAATTTTACTAAATTTATTCATTAAAAATTTGAAGGAATAAAATTAATTGAAAATGAATCAAAAATCCGTTCTTTCTATTTAATTGAAACGTTAAATCAGATTGAAATTTTTTTTTGAAAAAAAATTTAACCCGTCACTCGTTCAGGAAAGCGTTAGAACTTGGACTTGAATTGATGGACTCCCGTAACAAGTCAATTCCTACCCTTATAATGGTTGTTACGGATGGCCGAAGTGCAGATGATCCGAAAATTCCAGCTCAACAGTTACAGCAAATTCCGAATACATGGGTTTTTGCGGCAGCAACCGGAAATCCGGAAGCTGTTGACAAGTATATGTTTTATTTTGTTTTTTTTCTTGATTGTTGAGAATTTTGAAACAGCTAACTTATAGGAAATGGGTAGGCTAGCTTTTTTTCTTTCCAATATTTTGGGAGATTAATCAAGTTGAAGAGCTAAAATTATTTTGAAATTGAAATATTTTGAAATTTTAGAATTTTTTTTATGGATAAAAAAAACGGGTGAAGAGAGAATTTAGTGGATCAAAAGTTTTCAAAAATTCATAGGGTACGAAATGAAATATATCCAATGAACTTTGCTCATTACATTAATTATCTTTTCATGTCATAGAAAATAACAAGAGCGAATGATAATCGCGAAGTTTCAAACTTGTTTATACATTTCGGTCCCTTTTTTTGTTCTTTTTTTTCTTTACTATACCTTTTTTCTTTACTACTTTTTTTTCTTTACTTTTCGATAGCAATTAATAACGAATTTAGCTGCCATTTTACATTTTATGCTAATAATTTTGTTGAAACAGTGAATTAGAAATTTCTTTTTCTGTAATTTTAGATAATTCTAAGAGAAAAAGTTGTTGAAAAATTTTGCAAAACAAAGGTTAGAATTGGAAATTTCATTGTTTTTATTAATCATTTCAATAATTTAACAATTTCATTATGGTATTTTTTGTGCGAAAAAGCAAAGAGAAAATTATTAAAATTGTCAAAATAATAAAATTACCAGTGAGACAACATTAAAATGGCAGAATTTTGTCCGATAAAACAAATCATTAAGAATTTTGAAATTAATTTTTTTTCTAGGAAAGAATTACTTCAAATAACTGGTAGCATCAATCATGTTATTTTACAAAGTGGTCAAGAATTAGCTGCTGATATTACGCGTAAATTACTTCGACAAGCACAGGAAAAGTGTCGCACAACAACGACAACAACAACAACGACCACAACAGCCACAACAACTACCACAACCACAACCAATCCAATTTCAGGTATTTACATTTGCTAATTAGTTTGATAAACAGATGATATCAGTCGAACAGTGAAAGGATTTGATTTAACTGATTAATGAAATTAAAATTATCAACTTAAGAAAATGACGAAATATTATGGCCACAAATTTGACACCAAAGCAATAAGCTAATTTGCTATTTGACTGAGAAGTTAAAAATTGAAGCGATTCATCGGACATTTAGTTTGGATTAAATACAAACTACAAGTTATTTTATTATAATCTAATCGAATTTACAGACCAAGTTTTCTGTGTATATACAGATTAACCGGATATAATTAATTAAAGCAATGTTATCCGGTACCATACCTTCCAGAAAAGTCATCCGATTTTGTTATCAGGAGAGGATCATGTATTGCTTTGAGTAACATTTTCGTATTATCCTTGAAATTTCGCGACAGTTCTAAAACGAAATTATAGGTTGTGAACAAGATGTAGTACTTGTTATGGATTTATCAACAACAACAAATCCTATTTACCGGAAATATATAGAGATGGCTGAAGAACTGGTCAACAGCCTTGTAATTGGCCGGCGATTTAGTCGAATAGCACTAATAACATTTAGCTCAGTGGGTAAATCAAGGACACAATTTAATTTGGACAGGTTGGGATTATTTCTTTATCAATGAATTAGAAATTTCGAAAAATTTATAAAATCAAAAAAAAACAAAATTCAATTTTCACTGCATCCCGAAATTTTAAAATTATTTTGGAAAACTTTTGCAATTTGAATGAATGCAAAATCCGAAGAAATATACGGTTTAATCAAATGGGAAGTTTTATGTGGATTAATAAATACCAAAAACGAAGCGATGATGGATTGATAATTCTGTCATTCGATTTCCTCGTTAAAGTAACTCATTTTAATTTGTAATTAAATTTCGACTTGCCCTTTAAATCAATTAATTTTGATTTGTAATAAAGTAATAATTTAAATTCAACAGACAGAGGAAAACAATTCTTACGACTTTTTACGACTACATTTAATGTCAATCCTAAAATAAAGGAAATCAAATTAAACAATGTAAAAAAAAAATAACTTTTGAATCGAAAGAATGATTGAAATTTCAAGAATGAAAAATTTTCCGTATTTCAAAATTAATGAACAAAAAAAAAAGAAGTGAAACAGATTGAAATTACACGAACATACATATATATGTTTGTCTTTTCTTTATTTTCCTCATTTTTTTCTTAAAGTTTTCATGAGTTTTAATTATAATTTAAATTCTTATCACAAACGAATTGTATATTTTTTAATAAAATTTTGGATATTAGCCACAATAAAATATACGTATCTATGAAATATCTCAACTAAATAAATTTAAATTTTCTACAAATACAAACCAAAAGTCACAACTAATTAATGAACTTTAGGTATTTCGATGGAAAAGATATCGTAACTGCAATTCGAAGATTAGAATCCTCAGGTGGTACAACTGCTATCGGTTTGTTTTAAGCAAGTACTTCTCATAAATAATGCTCTGCTTCTTCTTCGCTTATTTTTTTCTCAATTTAACTTGAAAAAAAAAAAGAAAAAGAAAAGAATAAAATTACAACAAACAAAATATAATGATAATTGTTGAAAATTTTAAATTTTTTTACAAAATTTCCATGAATTTCATGTATTAGAATAAAATGTTCTAATCATATACTGTAAATGAATAATATCAAAATAGTCTGAAATAAATAATGATTCATATACAATTAGATCAACGTGATACATGAAAATTAATGAATTTTACAGGTGAGGGAATTCGACTTGGAACTGAACAGAAGGACAAGCAACATGGCGGTCGACCAGTCGAGATCGCAAAAAAGATTATGCTTGTATTCACGGATGGATGGAGTAATAAAGGACCGGATGTTGAAGAAATGACTCGTAATGCTAAAGGAGCCGGATTTACTCTCTATACCATAGTTTATGAGGTTTATTTATACTCATTTCTCTTTCCGGATTTTTTTCAAAAGAATTCAACATCACATTTAACATCATAATCGTTTGAAAGTACTTTTTAAATTAGTTAGACAAAGGCAAAAATTCTCAAACTTAAAAGTCGAATGATTAGTTCAATCCTAAAATGTTTCATATTAATTATCATGATGACCATTATTCATGATCTAATAAAAGTCCGATTATGAGTGAAATGATTTGATGACTAAGCCGTAAATAGTTTCTAATAGGTCAAAATTGTACCGTATCCGTCAAAAAGTATCTGTAGTTAGTTGTATAACTAATTACCAAGAGATAAGTTAAGCGACAAGATGATTTCGACGATAAAATTTCAATAATTAGTTGTATTCCCATTTTAGGGTAATGGACGAGTTGATGCGAATAGTCCTGGATTAAATCTTTACACCATTGAAACGATGGTCGATGATCACAAGCACGTTTATAGTGAGCGTAATTTTACGCAACTTATTCAGGAACTTAGACAACGTAACCTACCATGTATATAAGATTATGTTACCGATGTTCTCGACTCATTTATTACTTTTTTTTTTTCTTAATTTTGACGATGAGGTAAAACAGTTTTAATGTTAACACGAAAAAGGAAATCCAAACCTGTTACTTTTGATCCATACGACAACAATGACATCCAATTGACCTCCTAATTACTGAATATAATATATATATATATATATATATATCTTCAATGATTTTTTGATTTTGCTATAGCTTTAGAAGTCAAAATGTTCCAATTTTCCAGATGTTATAGATAATTAAATGACGTTGTTAACAGAGGTCAACAATCTTATACTGTGAAATATATCTTATCCTAAATTTGTTAATGAATTACTGTATGCAATGAGGACTCATTACGATATCATCATATCACAAAGCCTAACTTTGCTTTGATCTATTCCATTCATTCATTAATTAAAGTAATCAATAGTTTAAAAAGCCTGATATCAATTTATCCGTAAAAAATTCCAGTATGAAAATATCATACATATACACTGCCTCAAATTATTTGTATTTCTTAAATGACTCATACTTACATGAATTCTATTATGGTTCATTTCTTTTTCTTTCTTTGTCTTCGTTTGAAATAATCTTCTTTACCATCTTTCTGCTTCTGTTCTTTATCAATCTCTCATTATTATCGTTCAATGTTTTAAAATCTTATCAGTATGAAATCAATACAACGAATTAGGTGGATGTTAATTCTACCATTGTATACCTATTTTCTTATATATCTAATGTATTACTCTATGCTTTCAACAATAATAGCAATTTCTTTGTACTTGACATTTCTTTTGTAAGAAGAACTACTGCCATATCCTTTTATCATCATTATCAGTTCTACCTCCATTATTGAATATCTTCAAATGAATGAATATATTTGTCACGTATCTTTCCAAACTACATCGGATGAATCAATAAATTTTCCGTCAAATTTTAACAGATTTCCCGAAACAAAAGGCCATTGCGTTACATTTACTTTTCCTGTGGATCATCAAAGGTATCCCAAACATATCGTCACATTTTAGTGGACAAGATTAGAAATGTGATGAGAACAAGAATCAAACTACTCAAACATTCACCTACATCTTCCGTCCATATTTCAATGTTTTTCAACTGAACACAACTCTAATGTAATGTAATCATGATCTACTATCACCATTATGCATAATCAACCTTTTAGGAATGTTTCAAGTATCACAGAACTAATGGGAAGCTATGCCCACAATGAACTGTAACATCAACCACCAGGGTACCATAGGTCATTGAAGTCGCAGTTAGTAAGCGACACACAACATACTTACCATGCATTCAGTTTTGTAAAATTTTACAAAACTAAACTACATCTGAT